TCAGTAGGGACAGTACACTCATATACTTTTGGGTCAATGGGGGCCAGGACCAGGAACAGAAAAAGTGGTCAACCCTTCAAGCTATTCCACACCCCTCAACAATTTGAGCGAGTGGGTTTCATTTGTCCATTCGTGTGGAGCACCGACAACTTGGTTCCAAAGCGAGGCCTGTTTCCAAGCCACCGCGGGTTATATACCAAACAGTTTGGACGGGATTTGGTTTTGGGGTTTCACTTGTTCATTCCATTTTCCTCTTCCTTTTTGGACGGGTAAGCCTCTTGCCTTTTTCCCTTGGGCATCTTGCCCGCCAGAAAGCCGGATCAAGGACGTGGATGGCAAGGACCTCATCTCCTTCAGGGAGGTGGCGCTTCTGCTGGGCAGCCTGGTGGCGCTGGTTGACCGCCGTGCCGGGAGCCAAGGAAGCGGTGGGAGAAGGGGAGGGATGAGGGTCGGCAGGTTGGGGGGAGGGGTGAGGCAACCTTTTTCGGTCTAACGCATTCATTAATCATGCCGTGCCTGCTCCAATAGCTGGTTGTTGCGACTTGCTTTCCCGGCCGCAGAACAGATACAAACCACATACGACCAGCAACATCAGGAACTCGAACACGCATCACCCAACATGGTCCACAACTACCCACAAGGGCAAAGGGGTGGGGTATTCAACCACCGTATCATTTTGGGTCTGGGTTGGGGGTACTGGAAACTCGAGGTCCAGCAGCTGGTGGATATGTGGCAGAAGTTGGTGGAGAAGGAGTGCCCCCCAGACCTGGAGGAGAGCGATGGATCTCTGAGCGTCTGAGCGCAGGGAGGTGGAGGATGGGATTGGCTCAGCTGGGGTCCATTTGTGGTTCGCAGTCTCCATTTGCGGGGTTTGAGATCGCAATGTGACACTCATGGGGTGCCAGCTGTCCACTTTCTTTTTTTTGGTGGAAATCCCGCATTCCCAGCATCATTGGTAACATCCCCTCCCCTCCCTCGCAAAAACACCAAATCACAGTTTTTGGGAGCCCTTCTTGCCACCATGCGACTGCACGCGAAATTTGTAGCGCTGCGCGGTGCGCCGTTCTGTCCCGGATCCAGCCCAAAAACACAGTTTTGGGAGTCTTGCGTGCTTGCATCCAAGTATATTTGGATCTCATCAGTCCTGTTTGCGTGGTTCAGTGAGGGAAACATAGATATACGGAGGGTCAGAAAGTTTAACGATATTTCCGTAAGCATCAAAGGGAAGGCTGACTGATTTTAGCATGTCCTGGGCAAGCGCATTTTGACCGTGGCTCGTCTGGGGGAGGACTGGACGATCGACTTTCCCGACTTTCTCAAGCTGATGAATGCTGTGCGCCTCGCCTCAACTGCCAGCTGGTGCCAAAGCAATGCATCCGCTCGATTTGGGGGTGATTCCGGGGAACGGGTTTTTCTCGGTCCCGTACGTGGTGAAAGAGCTGGTTTGGATCATTGCGAAGTATCTGGGAAGAACAGCCAAATCCAAGTGCCCCCCCCCAAACGTGGGGACCAGTCGGGCCACTTGTTGGACGTTGGGGTCATCCTGTTGTGTGTTTATCCATGCTTGAGGTACGGTACGGTACGGTACGGTACGGATATTCATCGAAAGCTAGCCCTGTGACAGAAAAATGTGCACGCGTGTGGCGGGGATTAGACATGTTCAAAAGTGCAGCACACTGCGGGTTTCAGTGCCTTGGGATTTTAGCGAAGTGAGCCAAACGCGAGTTGTTGGAGGTCGGCCCGCCGAAAGTCCGCAGAGTACTCACCTTTTGATAGTTAAACTGAAAAGCGCAACACAAACACGAGTTGTTTAAGGTCAACCCCCTGAAGGTCTGCAGAGGGTTCAACCTTTGATGGTCGCACGTGCTGACAGACGCCAAAATAGATGAGTTTCTCGGGGTCGACCAACCCGAGTGTGCAGAGGGTGCAGGGGTTCTGGGCGGGGGGAGGTTGCCATTGAAAGGAGGGGTCTTTCTCTCTCTTCTCTCTCTCTCTCTCGTGCCTCAAAATAAAGCAGCTTGGGTTACGCAGGTTTTAGTCTACTTTTCTTCCATTTGCCAGGGTTCCATTTTGGACCCCAATTTTTGAGCCACCCCCCCTCTCTCTCTCTCTCCCTCTCTCTCTCTCTCTCTCTCTCTCTCTCTCTCTCTCTCTCTCTCTCTCTCTCTCTCTCTCTCGCTCTTTGTGTGTTTATATCCGGACCCGTTGTTGAGCAAAACTCTTCTAACAGGAAACCAGGAGTAAACTCTTCTAACAGGAAACCAGGATGAAACGAATCACAGAGCGCATCGCCATGGCCGAACCTCCCAAACATCTCACATAACCCAAGCAGGCAGAGGGATCCAACTGCCCGGGGAGCCTTCCAAACGTAAGCCCAGCAACGGCCAAGCCGGGGTTGAGCTCGGAGCATCAGGCTGGAGGAGGACTTCAGCGGCATCAAGGCCAAAACTGCCAGCATCGCCCGGGCCCAAGCTGCGGCTGAGTCTCTGGGGTGGGGTGGGGTGGGAAGGGAAACCCTCCTAACCCTGAACCGGCCTGAACCTTAATTCTCGTGAGGGGAGGTACTAGTTCTAGGGGGCCCTCATGGCTGCCGGCTTGGTGGATAATATATTTGACAAGTCGCAATTTGGTAGGTACTGACCGACAAGATTCTAGGGGGCCCTTATAGCTGCCGGCTTGGTGGCCAGCAACCATGTGCACTTTCGGTGGACGTTGGGCAGCCGCAGCCAATTTTTGAACGGACTGGTTGCATTTAGACAGGCAATCTTAGCTATTTGGAAAGTCCAGTGCAAGGATCCAGCGGATGTTTGTTGAAACTACACCAGACAGCACCACCGCCTGTCTCACGCTTTGTAGTGTATGCTTAGCCTGTGCAACCAAGGGCTGGGAGGCCCTGCAAGAGAACTCTTCTGGCTCATTTTGGGGGGAGGCCTAGCACCCCGTTTCCTGGAACATCCCCTCTCCAAATCCCCATGCCTTTTTCGAAAGGGCGGAGCACGTGCGGACTGATTCCCGTCAGGTGAAGGAGCTGGAAGAGGCGAAGAAGGCGGCGAAGCCGCCCGGCGCCCAGGGCTCCCAAACCTCGCGTGAGGACGGAAGTTGGGATTCAATTTCTTCAATTTGTTTGGGGTCCAAGTCCTTTTTGTGTGCCGTTAGCCGTTTGTGTCATTGCTTTGCTTGCTTGCTTGCTTGCTTGCTTGCTTGCTTGCTTGCTTGCTTGCTTGCTTGCTTGCTTGCTTGCTTGCTTGCTTGCTTGCTTGCTTGCTTGCTTGCTTGCTTGCTTGCTTGCTTGCTTGCTTGCTTGCTTGCTTGCTTGCTTGCTTGCTTGCTTGCTTGCTTGCTTGCTTGCTTGCTTGCTTGCTTGCTTGCTTGCTTGCTTGCTTGCTTGCTTGCTTGCTTGCTTGCTTGCTTGCTTGCTTGCTTGCTTGCTTGCTTGCTTGCTTGCAACTCTTTCTTTGTTTCTTCGTTCGCGTTCCCAACATCTCTGGGCCTTGGAATGTTCCGAAAGTACTTCGGTCGATCTGCGTCAGGGGCCTGCGCTCGATTAGCACGAAAGTGTGCCCTCCTCAGCCGCGAAGTCTTGTCTGTACCCCCCTGCAATTTGACATGGAGCCCCCAAAAAAGGGTGTTTTCAGGGACACACTGTACAGGGATGGCGGGTTGGGAGGCCATGTTAATCTGCAGGGGAGTATGTCAATCGGGTGGGCCTCTAAACTGGCCGTTTTTGGCATGGCCACACAGCTTGGCTCCCCAACCTTGTCGAACCTGTCAATTACGACGCAAGAGCACACAGAAGGTTGGAGGAGAGCTTATGTATTCTTGCGTGCGAGGGCAGATGCATTTATGGATGGTCATTGTGCCAAGGACGATCCAGGAGTCCGTGTCGACCATCTCGGATCATGTGCGCTCCTCATGCACAGCCGTGGGCCCGCAGTGGGCCAGATCTGTTTTCCTTCTTTGTACCCCTAGATAGGTTGTGTTGAGCGAAACCAAAAGGAAACCAACCCAAAGTGTTCTCCTCATTTGAAGCAAAGGTTATCACGAGAGGCAAGAGAACTGAGGCCTTGGATGCCCTCCTTGGGCCGGTGGATGTGGAGTCTGGCAAGTCTGTTTGTAGTGGTCTTAGCAGTGCTTCCTCTACAGCCTCATAAGCTCCTGCGGGATGCTGAAACTCGGGCTGCTTGCGGCTCAAGCTCGGTTTTCCTTGCGTTAAGGCGTAGCCACGAAGGAAGCAAGCAACACGTCTTTTTTTGGATAGCTTGGTTGCACATAGACTTGTTTCTAGTTTGGGTCTAATCACTCGCCAGGGGGACCCATGTTTCCCGAAAGACACCAAGGGTTCAAACCTCTTGCGGTCGCAAGGGACACCGACTGCTGCTTTGTATGCGTAGCCATTGCCAGCTGGCATGGCACCCTGCTGAAGAGGCAGAAGATCGCTCACAAGAGCGTTTTGAAGGCTGGCTCGGCGCTCCAACAAAAATCCTTACACGAGACTTTTATGGATCTGTGCGGCTGGGGTACTCCTCTGGTTCTGGTTGAAAAGTCCAGTTCTGTGCTAGAGCCCCGGGCCTGCCCCGAGATGCCAATTTTAAGATCTAATGCCTGAACTTGGCGCAAGACGCGCCACGCTGGCTGCTGAAAGGAGGCAACCTAGGCGATGCGAATCCAGACAAAACAAGCTCGCAGCTGCGGGATATTGTGGGTGTATGGGTGCACTACAACTACTAACATTGTATGGAGGTATTCCAATGTGTTTCTCGCATCGATTGCTGGTCGCAGCAGTCCGGAAGCCAGCCCCTTGAAGCAGTTGGGCTTGTCAGCGTCTGGGGCACTGCTTGCGCGAATGCATGTGCTCAAGGATCTCCATTTCCGTGAGACAGGAGGAACAATCCACTGACCCAACAGGTTCACGCCATGACTCGTGTAGCCTTGATCAACTCTGATATGCTGTGAATTCGCCAGCATCCTTTGCTCAGATCCCTGCATCAACCCACTGGCCCGGCGAGCGCCGTTGAGCCGTTGAGCGCCAGTCCCCAGCGTTTTTTTTCCTGCTATACTTGATGGCCTCACCATGACAGCCTCTGATTTGCGCGGCCCTCAGCGGCCTTCCTTTGATTTCCGAAGATTGTGAACCCAGAATAAACCTGGCTTCAAATGGCTGGGTTCCAATATTTGCACGTCGACGAACCACGGCGAAGATCTGGGGCACTGCTTCCTGGAAGCCCAAACGCTGCCCCATTTTCCTGGAACAGCAGAGCCGCTGGAATTTGTAGGAGCCAAGGGTGCATCGGGCTTCAGATGGGTGTTTCTCAAAGGAGAAGCCTTACCCCAGCATACCCTGCCAAACAAGAGATTTCGAGGGGACAAGCTTAAGACTAGATGAAATGACACAAAGCCCCAAGATGATGTGAACGCAACAGAGACGCCACAGACCCACAAATGGGCTCCCAGGTTTAAGTCGGCCAGCCGGGGGTACCAGCAGCAGCAGTCCTGCCCTGCGCCAGCCCGGCAGAGTTGAGAGAGAATCAATTCCAGCTGCGTTCTTAGAAAGTCTGGGTAGAGGGTTACTGCGTTACTTCCCCGCACGGATAAAAACATGGAACCCCCAAAAGTTGCCCTTTTGAAATGGTGATGTTTGGGCTGCCAGGGGTGCAAAAGGGGTCCATGCTCGTGACAGCCCAAGGTGCGTTGATCCCAAGTGGTTGAATGTCCCTTCCTGGCCGTGATGAAAGGTCACACTAGAAAATTCAAGGTGGGACTAGTCTATTTGCCATTTCCTTGAGGAGTCATCCCGGGCAGAACAGTTGACTGCCGCTTTGTTGAATTGGAGGAGCAGCGGCCTTGTTCGGACATGTTCGGACATTCTGCACAGTTTTGTACCTGGCAAGTGAGGGCTGAGCAACCCTCTTTGCGACCACCCCCCTACGGCAGAACTTATCCTGCTGGATTGGGGCGTCTGGGGCGTCTGGGGCGTCTGGGAAGTGTGCCATGTTGCTGCCACTGAACAAGTCATGGCAGGTTGCAGGAGCTGGACCCTGCTGGTGCCGAGGCCGAAGGAGCGTTCGCTTCTGCTTTGGGGTTGATCAAGGATCCCAAGCCGCTCCCATGGTCCGACGAGGGCCAGGCTTGCTGTTTGAAAGGAGCCGTTTGAAAGACTTCTCTTTGACTGTCGGCGCAGTGCTGACGAGCCATGACCTGTACCAAGCATGGCTGAACAACATACGGGTGCTCTGCCAGTAGCGTTTTTTACCCAAAGCTCTCGCAGTGAGCCCGGGAACCACAGCACCATTCGATCTCAGGCAGGCATCCCCCAAGAGGATTCCTCCACACCCCACTTTGGTGCCTTGTTATGTCTTCCCGCCATACTTGCAAAAGTTACTTTCGCTTCAGGGAGACGTTTCTTTTTTGCACGCCCTACCGGTAGAATGTCAAGATGAGTCGGACCCTTTTCGGTCCACTCTGAGGGCAACTCATCTAGACCCCCCAAAAAAAACAAAAACGTAACAACTTGGATTCCGCGTCAAGCAGTTTTCCGTGCGCCGCGCGCTTTCCTCGCCGTCCCTCCCCCGGGCTTTTCTGGGCCATTCTGCCCTGCGCGAGGAGAAAACAACGCGGGCCTGGAGCGCACGGAGTCCGTGGGCTTCAAGAGCCCGGCGCCCGGAGGTCTCAACGCAGCCCCAGCGGTGGGGGGGTCGGGGGGTGGGGGGGGGTGGGGTAAGTGGGGGGTTAAATCCAACATGGCCGGAACAACCTCCATTTAGTTTCTATTTAAAGATGAGGGCGACTGGTTGTTTGAAGAAATCTTGGACAGATGAGCCCTTACTTGGGATCATAGGTCCGTTATTCTTTTTTCACTGGTTGAACATCGATGGATTCCAAACCCAGCGTTTACCATCGACTACCAGTGCCAGGCTCAGTAATCGAGGTTTGAGGGGGGCTTGCAGGCATTGGGCGAATTTCCCAAAAGTAGTTGCCGACAAGGGATCTACCGCTCACAAAATGGCGTACGCAGCCCTGAAACGGGGCCTTTGCGGTTTCCTCTCGGCTTCCCTTCAAAGAGGCAACAGCAAGTTTATCATCATAACCAACAGGTGTTTTTCACCCAAACACACAGAAGCTTGCATGCCCCCCGATTTTGGGACATTTCTGCTCGTCATGTAGAAGAACTCATTTCCCTCCCACAAAGAATTCCAGTAACAAGTATACAGGGAGCCAACAGCAGGGTCTTTGTCGGGGACCCCAGGCTTTCTTGTTTGGACCCAATGCAGTGCTTGGTTTCTCGTGCATTTCGGGCTCATGTTCTGCGCGTTGAGCGCCACATCGGCTTTAACGCCAGATATAAACAAGTATGTTTCCCCCGGACCCGGGCCTTGTTTCGCTCGCTCTTTCTCTGCGACCTCGTTGGCTGGAACACCCAAAAGGGCTGGTGGACTTGAATCCCAATGATGTGCACCAAAAGGTCCGTAATTCATTAGAATTCAGACCCATTTGCAACTCCAGAATTGTCAGCTGGCTGCGAGGATTCCTTCGGGCGCATCCCCAGGTTTGTTTCCCTTTTCCTGGGTGAGGTTGGTTCGCGGAGCACGTGTCGGGCGGCTTCAGCATCGGCGCGCCTCGGCCCGTGAGGCCCAGCGCGGGGTGGGGTGGTGGGTGGGTGGGTGGGTGGGTGGGTGGGTGGGTGGGTGGGTGGGTGGGTGG